GGATGTTCGAACGAGCCCGACGCAGTCATGAAGGTCTACAACCACCAGCTCGAGCAATGGCGCACCGACGCTGCACCGACACACATCAGCATCATGCTCCAGTCGTGCGCTCCTACCTGGGATCCCGACGGGCCAGTGCAGGACCTCAGCCGCCAGGTCTTCGTGGATGACACCCTGAAGTTCCACATCGCTCCTCGCGTCGGGCCACGCAAACAAGCCATCGACTCCATCGGTCAACTACACGACGCCAGCGTCGACGATATCCACGCCCTGACCGCCGCCATCGAGCGCGACCTCGAGGTGCTACGCCAGTCGCTTCGCCAGGGAGGCTTCGCCCTGAACGAGACCAAGGACGAGATCGTGCACGGCATCCCATCGAAGTCCCTGCGCCGCGCCTTTTTCACCGACCCCCGCGTAATCTGCAAGAGACTGACCTCGATGAAGCACGTGGGGGGTATGTTCGGCGCCAAGGCATCCTTCCACGGAGAACGTGAAGCACGACTACGAGCAGCAAACGCAGGATGGTGCCAGTACCGCCATTTTTGTTTTAGCCGAGCCCCGCGCCGACTTAGGCGACACGTATTCCAAGCCGTCGTCTATGAAGCCGCCATCAGCGCCGCCGAGGCCTACTACCTCTACGCCACGGGCTACAAGGAGCTCGACATCTGTCTGGGCAAGAAGCTGCGGACCATGCAACAGGGCAAGGGCTGCCAACGCCACCGCGGCACGCAATGCAAGGCGATCTCCGCGGCCGAGGTATGGCGCCGATGGGACATCGTGCCGTGCTCCATCGAACTAGAGATCCGACGGCTGAAACTACTTCAAGGCGCTGCCGCACACCCCCAATAATCCCAACATCTTGTCTCCGCTCTGTTCGGCGAGCTCCGCATCTCGCGCCTTCTGAGAGACAGCGACCTCACCGTAATGCCACTCGCCCTGGCCGACGACGGCTACATCAGCCCCGACGCGCACCCGATCGCCAGACAGATGACCTTCGACATCCAGGACCTCCTCACCTACGACACTGCCGAACCCTTGGACTTGCTGGACTGGAAGGGCAACGCTATCGCGCTGTTCACGGACCCCGAGATCGCCGAAGCGTTCTGCGGGATCGACGTGGGCATCGTGAGGGCTGCCTATCTTCCGCGCGCTGTCGCGCCGCCTGGTGCCTCCGCCGAGCTCCCATCGGAGCTCGCCCCATCCGACGAGGCCGAACTGTTCGTCTGTGAGCTGGAAACATCAGCAGGAACTCCATGCATGAGTACCTGGAAGGCCGCGCGAGTACTCTTCGCACATCAACGAGGAATGGCATTCGGAGGCGAACATGGAATGTAATGCTTGCTGTCTCAGCTCACGCTCACGAACGAGTGCATCATATGTAGTGCGACCTTCCCGGCGCGAGTGGGCGCGCAACACCATATCGCAGCAGCATGGAAATCACGCGCGTGCAAGATGTACCAGACCTGGGCCCCGTGCCCCCTCGTAGCCCCGAAGAGCCTCACCTGCCCGATCTGCCAGGTCCTATGAAGAGTACGCCGAGCTCCGAGGCCACCTCCGTAGTCATTTACCCCAGGACGTCTCTGGCACTCACGCACTTTCGCTTTCACTACCGCCACGCCCTGCAGCCGCACCAGCTCGCGATGTTCACGGGCTCGGGGCCCCCGCCGACAGCGACTGCGGCTGCGCCGCAGAGACCGAGCTGGCGTGCCTCGCGGGGATCCCCCTCCACGTCTGGCGGTGGTGGCTCCAGCGGGGCCAGATCCATGTCAATCGACCGATCGCGCAGCCAAGCACGCGGACAGGACCCTCGCAAGAAGTTCGAGGACCAGGACGTGGAGCTCGACGACCAGAATATCGACCCCAAGAAGGACACGAATAAGATCAGGGAGCACAAGGGTTGCATCATCACGACCGTGAAGGTGATCGTGCAGGAGAAACGCAACTTCGTTCAGGCCATTCGTCGCGAAGGAGAATCACGCGGAAGAGGCCCGCCAGCACCGGGCGCCGCGTGGGCTATGATGGAGACGCTGGCTCAGCAGGACAGCGGCGCGAAGAGCAAGGGCGAGGACTCCAACACCGCGATCGAGCGCGCCAGCGCCATGGACCAGTACCAGGAGCAGGACACCCCGGTCTGCAAACTCGCCAAGGCTTACAGGGGCGGCCGGGCGAATATCCATTGCAGGGACTACGAAAGCAGGCAGCATACCATGACAGCGTTACACAACGCCGAGGAGGCAGCGCGCGTGGGTCCAGCGCCAGCGGGGTCCGTGGAGGACGAGCTGGCCTTCTGGATGTAGGCGCTGAGGGTCGAGACCAAGACGGGGCTGCTGCGCGCCTCCCCGCGATGCCCGCTTGCTTGTCCATTGGGGGCCGCGGGTTTGCTAGCGGGAGTAGAAAAACTTAACTGCCTTACAGACAGCCTGAAGGGGAAGGGACTGCGGACGATGCCACCATCACTAGCGAGTCCATCAGCCGCCTCAAAGCGACGAACGCCGAGACGGGGATCTGCACTCTACCTGCAGAGAGGGCGAGGCCGAATGATGAGGCTAACGCCAATATGAGCCCCGCCGTGCCCCTTCTCCTTGGGCTTGCTCGCGACAGGCGCGAGGGGCCCTGCGCTCCTGCTCGGGTCGGCTCGAGAGGAAGGGCAGCCACCCTCCCCCTACCTCCTACCGCCCCCCGCCCCCGAGCTCTGCTGCTGCCTCCATGCCGTCTACTCCTCCTCTTCCGTCTCGAAGCGATCGACCCTCCCTGTTTACAGCGCGGGGGAGAGGTCGGAGTCGCGGACGAGGGCGTGGAAAGGGCCGCGCCTCGAGGTAGAGCTGGGTGCGGGCTCCCCGTTTCCACGCTGAGCCGCTCGCACCATGCGAACGGCGCCTTAGTAGTACCGCTTTCGGGCGAGCACCGTCCAGGCCCCATCCGTTTTCTTGTCGGGTTATCCTTAGGTGCTTGGACATTCGGTGTGAGTGAGTGAGTGAGTATTTGTATGTGCGTGTTGATGTTTACGTATATTTCTAAGTGCATGTATATATGTTTATATATATATATGTATATATATATATATATTATATATATATATATATATATATATATGTGTGTATATATATGTATATATATATATATATATATATATATATATATATATGAAAGAGCGTGTTCTACCGCTGCTGGCGGAAAACCGGGGGGGGTCACTACCGGTTCGAATCCCTCCCCCCCCCTCTGGAAAACGTGGATCGGGGGCCGCCCAGATCTCGGGGATGGGCCGCCTTGAGGTCACGCCTCACGAATGTGTGCCGCCGGAGAAAACGACCCATTTCAGCCAAAAGGGGTCGTTTTTCGCAGGGTCCCGCGGCATTGTGTTGTACGCATGTTTGCACCCGTTGGCAGGACAGCTTGCCGGCGGAAGCCGTGACATAGTGTAGTGCCGTGCGGTGCGTGAGGCATGGCAGGCAGAGCATGTTGTCAGAGGTCGGTCTAATTAGGGTTTCTTGCGAGCGCGGGGAGAGTGGCAACACCAACCCCGCGCCCATGTGAATTGTGTTACTGTGCTGGCACTTTGGCTCAAGATGGAGCGGTCTGAGGAAAAACATCCTTTGCCCGTCCCGGTGAGGAAGAGAAGTCAGTCTCAGCGGCAACGCAGGCTGCTCCTCCGACTCTCCACTACTTGCGACACATTGCTTAGGCTGAAACTCAGGATCCCTGTAAACAGCAGCCTCAGGCATTCTCTGCCCATACCCCCAGCCAGGGCCCGTCGACTGTTGTGCTTGATAGCTCAGAGGAGTAGTATTGAGGCCCCTCTCGACGACGTTGTCACGGAAGCGGAGCGGCAGTAGTAGACGATGGCATTCGATGAGACGATCGTGCCCCATGCAGGGCCAGACGAGAGGAGAGCCCTGCAAAGGGTTATGAGCCCAAACGCTGCCCTGGCGCCGCATAGCTACACGCACATGCGGCAGTGCAGGGCGTGTTACGACGTGATCGTCGGCCCAGCGATCTGGTGCAGTGTGTGCGAGGGCGACGTCCATGCGCACTGCATGCAGGTGATTGGGATGTCCCCCGTGTGCTTCTTCTGCTTGGCCGGCAGGGACATGCTGGCCGCGCAGCGCAGCTCGGCATGGACTGGCCACGTCGCAGCCCAGATGGGCAGGTACGCGGCTTGCGGAGGGCAGCTGGCCGGCCAGGTGATCGGGGCGACGGTCAGCGGCACGGCGCAGGGAACACTGCGGCTTGTCCAAGGAGCCGCGGCCGGCGCCAGGCGGACCTGGACTGGGGCAGGCGCGGTGCCGCCGCCGGCGCGGCCGCGCTACCTGCCGCCGCAGCCGCTGGAGTACGACAGCCAGGACAACCAGCAGCTGGACGAGCTCCGGCTGGCCAGGCAGCAGATCGAGATCCTGACCAGGAGGACCGAGGAGCTCGAGAGGCAGCTTGGAGGCTACGCCACCCCAGGAGGGGCGAGCCCCGACGCGGGCGCGCTGACCGGCGGGCCGCCCAGCTCCCCGACGGATCGGGTAGAGCAGGGCCCTGCTGGTGGTGAGGAGGAGGCGCGAGGACAGGATGAGGACACCCCAGTGCAGGAAAGGCTGGGGCAGGCGGGCGAGGGCCGGGCGCAGGCTTCGGAGCAAGACCCGCCGCCCGAACAGCAATCAGCAGCAGCAGCAGCAGCAGCAGCAGCAGCAGCAGCAGCAGCAGCAGCAGCAGCGTCAGCCGCAGTGGAGCCTCCAGGATTAGGCCCTCCAGGCTGGCCGCAGGGCTGGCAGTGGATGCAGGGGCCAGTTCCCCAGATGTGGCAGCCAGGGCCGTCTGGAGTAGGAGGAGGCCCGCCTGGAGGAGGAGGCCCGCCAGGAGGGAGAGACCCAGGAGGAGCAGGAGGAGCAGGAGCAGGCGATCCAGGAGGAGGACGACCTAGCAACTGTGGCCCGTGCGGGCCCCTGGGACACCCTGGAGGAGGGCCACCACCGCCGCCGCCGCCACCCCCACCCTTCGGCGCAGGAAATGCTGAGGGAGGAGAGCTGCCAGGTGACAGGACTGGCACGCTGACGGCGGTGCTGGCGCGACTGAAGGACACCGACGTGCCGACCCTCGAGTGGGTCAAGGGCGTCGGCAAGGCATCGACGTTCGAGGACTGGCTCCAACGGGCCAGCATCAGGATCAGCGGACTGCATCCTGCATTGGAGGCCTTCTGGGCCAGGGCGCAGGAGTGTTGCGCGGTGGCCTACGACGAGTACCTGTCCCTGGACCCGCTCAGGAGGCCTCTCATCAGGCCAGCCGCGCACATGATGCCAGCGGAGTTGAGGAACGTTGAGTTGCGTCTCCGGCCTTTGCTGCTGGACGCGATGCCGGTGAGCATCAGGAAGCAGGCGTTGGCGACCCGGCAGACCGCGGTGGCCGACATCTTCTTCGCGGCGATGGTTGAGGCGGGGCCTGGGACGCTGAAGGACCGCGAGGCCACGCTGAAGGCGGTGGAGAGGAGAGGCCAGCAGGCGTCCAACCAGGTCGCGGACGCGTACGAGAACCTTCAGAAGTGGAAGTTCGACCTCACGCGGCTGCAGAGGTTGGGAATGGCAGCTCCAGATCCCACCGTGCAGCTCTCTACGTTGAGAGGCATGGTGCGCCGTATGGCGGAAACCGACGGGGCCTTCCAGTACAGGGTCCACGCATTTGAGATGCAGCATGGGTTATCTGGGACTTCGTGCTGCAGCCAGGCGCAGGTCGACGAGTTCTGGCGCTACCTCTCGGCGGAGGCTAGAGAGGTCTGCGGGCCGGATGTGTCGGCGAAGAGCGTCAAGGCCAAGATTGCCGAGTACGAGAACAAGGGGAAGGACAAAGGTAAGGAGAAGGACAAAGGCAAGCCTAAAGGAGGAGGAACAGGAGTGCCGCCCAAAGGAAAAGGCAAGGAGGACAAGGGCGAGCAGTCGCCATGCAAGTTCTTCGAGCAGGAGGGGGGCTGCCGCAATGGCGGCCAGTGCAGCCACCCGCACAGGCGGCTGGCTGTGTCGGAAGGCAAGTGCTTCAACTGCGGAGCGGTGAAGCATAAGACCGACGCCTGCCCTCGGCCGCGGCGCGAGGTCAGTGCCCGCTCGGCTGCTGCAGGACCCGCCCCAGGAGGAGGGGCAGGAGGAGGCGTTGACAGCAACGCCGCAGCAGGGGCGAGGACAGTTTCCGGAGGGCCGAGCGGCCCGGACGCGCCTCCGCCCAGCACGAACGTGGGCGCGGTGGTCGCGGCTACCATCAGGGCGCTGGCAAGCGAGGGCTTGCCCGGAGCCCAGGCGAGCCGGGCGCAGGTGCAGGCGCCCACCGAGGAGGACCAGTGGCTCGACTCGTGGGCTACACCCCCGATCGCCGCCCCTGGCCTGCGCGCTGCAACGGCCGCAGTGGTCGTAGAAGGAGGCGCTGAGGAGACGGAGGGTCGTCGGAGCGATCCCCAGCCGAGAGGAGCAATCAGCGTCGGGGAGACCTCGACAAGGGCCGTGGCTATCGCGAAAGTTATGGTGATCAAGGGAAGGCGGATGCTGCTCGCCGACACGGGGGCGACCCATGAATTGAGGTCGATTCCGATTGGGAGCAAGCCTGAGGTTCCCCACAGGAGCATCGAGCTGCAGGTGGCCACGGGCAGCATCAACGCGACCATCGGTGACGACGACATCGTCTACGTGCCGAGCGAGGTGGAGCTGCAGCCGTTGTTCCCCATCGGTGCCTACTTGTATGAGTGCGACCTTCGCCTTGTGTGGAGCGCTGGGCAGGCCGCGATCCGCCTGCCGAGTGGGCGAGACATGAAGCTTGAGCAGGTCAACGGGGCGTTGTACCTTGATGAGGAGACTGCGGAGCAGCTCAGGAGTTTGAGGAGGAGGCTTCGCCAGGAGAGAGGCCGGGCGCTGGTGCTTCGCGCGGTTGCGGCCGCAGTCAGTATCTCGGATTTGGCACGCCACAGGGCGGAGGGCCATCCGAGGTTCATGCAGGAGTGCCGGGAGTGCCGATTGGCAGCCGGGCGCATGAGGCCCCATTACCGTCTCGATCCTTCGACTCGGCCCGGAGGCCAGTTGAGCGTTGACCTTTCTGGCCCTCATCCGAAAGGTTTGTGGCCGAGCTCACTCGCCCAGGATGGCCCGAAGAGGGCTTGCTATTTCTTGCTGGCCGCATACCAGGTGCTGACCAAGCGCGAGGTCGAGGACCAAAAGCGCATGGTCCAAGATGCCCGACGAGCAGCTGGGGTTGGGGTGCCCGTGGAGCCAGCGCGCGGCGCCGCCGCTGCAGGGGCTGCCGAGGAGCGCGGCCCAGCAGGACAGGAGGAGGTTGAGGAGCAGCTGCAGGATGTCCCCGGAGAAGCTTCCGGGAACCTCGGGGTGGACCAGGACGAGGTTAAGACGTGGTACTACACGAGGCCGTTGGAGGGGAAGACCTCCAAGGAATGCACCGCGGCGATGGAGGAGATCATCAGCGAGATCAACTTGGAATTCCAGGGACCTGCCGTGTTTCGGCTGCACGGCGACAGGGCCGGGGAGCTCACCGGGCGCGCCGTCAAGGGCCACATGGCGTCCAAGCGCACCATCGCCGTGACGTCGACCGCTGGGGGCGAGTCCAGCTCCAACCCCAGGGCCGAGAGGGGGATCGGAGTGATCAAGGGCAGAGCGCGCGCAATGCTCATGGCCGAGAACCTCGACGCTGAGGATCGGCAGGCGCTCTGGCTGGCAGCTGTCCAGCACGCGTCGTGGTGCCAGCGCCGGGAGGCCCAAGGGCGAGGCTTCGGGGACTGCCCGCCCTTCGGAGCAGCTGTGACGAGCAGGATCAAGGACGCCCGGGGCAGTTTCGAGCCTCGAGCGCGCGAGCAGTACTTCTTCGGGGCGGCTGACGGTGTGAGTGGCGGATTCCTTCTTGGACGAAAAGAAGCTGCTGGCTGGGTGTTCGAGGTCTCGTCCAGCTTCGTGCTCAACCTGAAGGCGCACGAGACCCAGGAGGAGGATGAGGCCCAGGAGGAGGATAAGCAGGCTGAGGAGGATGAGGCCCAGGAGGAGGATAAGCAGGCCGAGGAGGACCTATCGGCCACGCGGCCGGGACAGCATCCGGCTGAGGAGGATCGGGCCCAGGAAGAGGAGAAGCAGGATGAGGAGGAGAAGCACGCAGAGGACGCAGCAGCACCAGGAGGAGGCAGCGGGGAGGACATCTTCGAGTTTCAGTCCGAGGAGCGAGCGTTCTCTTGTCCGGCGTGCCGGGGCCGCCATCGAGCGCACACCCGTGATGAAAGGTGTCGCCTTGGAGCTCGCGCGGCGACTGCGATGCCAGCGAGGAGGAGGGCCCAGGAGGATGTCGAGGAGAAGCCGATGAGGACTGCACGTTCGGTCGTCGGTACCCCCGTGAGCCTCCTCATGCACCACGACAGCATGAACATGCACGTCCCATTTGCTGGCGTTGCTGACGCACGAGATGGTGGAGACCTGGACAACGCGCCTCCGGAGTACCACGACATCGTGAAGGACTCGGCCATGCAGATCGTCAGCGTCGCGGACGTGCGGAAGGCGTATGGCCAGGAGCGCGAGGAGTGGAAGCTCGCGTTGGAGCATGAGCTCGGGTCGCTCCGTGAGACTGACTCCTACGAGGAGTTATCGCCAGCGGAGCGGGCGGCAGTTTCGCCGCGAAAGATCTTGCCGATGAAGGCGGTGGCAGGAGTGAAGGCCCCAGATCCGACGGGGAACAGGAGGAAGAAGGTTCGGGGGGTCATCTGCGGGAACCACCAGGAGCGCGGCGACGGCGAGCAGGTCTACGCGGCGAACGTGGACATTTCCTCGGTGCGGACGGCCCTGGCCGTGGCAGCGCACAAAGGTTGGGCCGTGGGCGCCTTGGACGTCAGCACGGCGTTCCTGAACGCGGAGCTGCCCGAGGAGGTCGGCGAGGTCATCGCGAGGCCGCCGAAGATTTTCGTCGAGTACGGCCTCTGCAAGCCGGACGAGCTGTGGAGGGTGAAGCAGGCGATCTACGGATTGCGAGTGTCCCCACGGGCGTGGGGCATCAAGCGGGACAGCGACTTGCGCGACGTGCGGGCGCAGCGCGAGGGCATCGAGTGCAAGCTCATGCAGTCGCTGGTGGACCCCTCGGTGTGGTCCGTCGTACCGGTCGTGGAGCCGAGGGTGGAGTCCGAGCGCAAGGTGCTGGGATACGTGCTGGTGTACGTGGACGACTTCCTCATCCTGGGCGCCGGCCAGCTGGTGGCAGCGCTCACTCGCGCGTGCCAGTCCCTCTGGAAGTGCAGCGTCCAGAACATGGTGAGTTTTGACGCTCCGGGCGAACTGAAGTACCTCTCGCTGACCATCGAAGCGAGGGCCGACAGCTTCTTCATCCACCAGCGGGAGTACATCTCGGACCTGTTGGAAAAGTGGGGGCTGGACAAGGCAAACGGCACCGGCGCGATGCAGATCGAGGCGACCAACGACGAGGAGGAGGCGGGGGAGCCGGAGGTAGGAGACGTGAGACTTGCTCAAAGGATGTCTGGAGGCCTCTTGTGGCTGAGCAGCCGGACGCGGCCCGACATAGCATTCGTAGTGTCCCGCGTTGCCTCTGCTGCCTCTTCGCGCCCTCTTTGGGCGCTTCGTCTGGGTAAGCGTGTGCTCAGGTATCTAATCAGCACGCGTACCTACGGGCTGGTGTACAGAGCTGGGATGGGCGAGCCGCGCTTGGAGACGTTTGCAGATGCCAGTTTTGAGCCCGACTGCAGCCAGTCGGGAGTGGCAACGTACGTGTGCGAATGCTTGGTCGACTGGAGGTCAATCAAGCAAGCGCAGCCTGCCCGGTCGACGGCCGAGGCGGAAATCACAAGCCTGGCCATGGGTTGCCTCATGATGGAAGGCACCGAGGCGGTGCTAGGATCGATGTTCGTGCGACCAGCGTCAGTGTGCTTGTGGGGCGACAACAGCGCATCGCTCGCAGTAGCCATGGGCCAAGGCTCGTGGCGCACCCGCTGCCTGGCCAACAGGGCCAGCGCTCTGCGCAGCAGGCTGCATCAGGGGACCTTGCAGCTTGGGCGCGTCCCCACTGCGGAGCAGAGGGCGGACGGCCTGACAAAGACTTTGCCTGTCCCCGGCATGGCTCGCACGCGCTCGGCATTTGGACTCCGGGCGTAAGCGGCGAGTGTTTTTTTTAGAGAAGCCATTTTGGCTAGAGTGTGGGCGAGATGCTGCCCCGCGATCCCACGGACCGAGTCCGTGCGACTCCGCGCTCGGCGCAGGCCGCGGCGGAGAGGAGGAGCGTGGATCGGGGGCCGCCCGGATCTCGGGGATGGGCCGCCTTGAGGTCACGCCTCACGAATGTGTGCCGCCGGAGAAAACGACCCATTTCAGCCAAAAGGGGTCGTTTTTCGCAGGGTCCCGCGGCATTGTGTTGTGCGCATGTTTGCACCCGTTGGCAGGGCAGCTTGCCGGCGGAAGCCGTGACATAGTGTAGTGCCGTGCGGTGCGTGAGGCATGGCAGGCAGAGCATGTTGTCAGAGGTCGGTCTAATTAGGGTTTCTTGCGAGCGCGGGGGGAGTGGCAACACCAACCCCGCGCCCATGTGAATTGTGTTACTGTGCTGGCACTCTGGCTCAAGATGGAGCGGTCTGAGGAAAAACATCCTTTGCCCGTCCCGGTGAGGAAGAGAAGTCAGTCTCAGCGGCAACGCAGGCTGCTCCTCCGACTCTCCACTACTTGCGACACATTGCTTAGGCTGAAACTCAGGATCCTTGTAAACAGCAGCCTCAGGCATTCTCTGCCCATGCCCCCAGCCAGGGCCCGTCGACTGTTGTGCTTGATAGCTCAGAGGAGTAGTATTGAGGCCCCTCTCGACGACGTTGTCACGGAAGCGGAGCGGCAGTAGTAGACGATGGCATTCGATGAGACGATCGTGCCCCATGCAGGGCCAGACGAGAGGAGAGCCCTGCAAAGGAAAACCGGGGGGGGGGTCACTGCCGGTTCGAACCCCTCCCTCCCCCCCAGTTCATCATGAAAAGGGGGGGGGGGGGGGGGGGTCGCTGCCGGTTCGAACTCCCCCCCCCCTTCGAGCTCGAAAACCGGGGGGGGCCACTGCCGGTTCGAACCCCCCCCCCTTCCCCCCTCGAAAACCGAGGGGGGGTGCGGGCAGTGGTGGGGGCGGTGGTGGTGGGGGCAGTGGCGAGGGGGCAGCGGGGCAGTGGGGGGGACAGTGGGACAGTGGTGGGGGCGGTAGTGGTGGGGACAATGGTGAGGACAATGGTGGGAACAGTGGGGACAGTGGGACATTGGTGGGGGCGGTGGTGGTGGGGACAGTGGTGTGGGGACAGTGGGAATGTGGTGGAAACAGTAGGACAGTGGAGGGTACAGTGGTGGTGGGGACAGTGGTGAAGGCGGTGGCGACGACGGCGGTGGGACAATGGGACAGAGGTACAGTGGGGACAGTGGTGGGGACAGTGGGGACAGTGGTGGGAACAGTGGGACAGCTCAGTGGGACAGCGGAGGAGTCAGTGGGACAGTGGGGACAGTGGGGATAGTCGTGGAGAAAGTTGGGAGAGTGGAGCCGTGGTGGGAACAGTGGTGGGGACAGTGGGGACAGTGCGACAGTGGTGGTGGCACTGGTGGGGACAGTAGGGGCGGTGGTGGAACCAGTGGGGACAGTGGTGGTGAGGACAGTGGTGCTGGGAACAACAGTGGGGGATGTGGTGAGGACGGTGGTAGGGACCGGGAGTCGTTTGCTGGAGGTGAGAGGGGGGGTGGGGAGGGGTTCGAACCGGTAGTGACCCCCCCCCTCCGGTTTTCGAGGGGGGGGGGGGGGGGGTTGAACCGGTAGTGACCCCCCCGGTTTTCGAGTTCGAGGGGGGGGGGTAGGGGAGGGGGAGGGTTTTGCCGGGGGGAGGGGGGGGGGCGGGGAGGGGTGGGTTCCAGCAGGGGGGGGGGGGATTTCGGAGGGGGGTGGGGGCCCCCCCCCGGGTTCTGGAGGAAAAAGGCGGCAATTTTCCATCGTGAAGCGGCGGTGGATCTCTCTTTCTCTCTCTCTCTCTCTCTTTCTCTCTCTCTCTCTCTATATATATATCTCTCTCTCATATATATATATATATGTATATATATATATATATATATATATATAGGTATATATAGGTATATATATGTATGTATGGTATGTATGTGTATATATATATATATATATATATATATATATATATATATATATTCAGGTGTGTGTGTGTGTGTGCGCATATTTAGGGGCATGTCTTGGAATGCGGTGGCCAGCGTGGGCTGCGCGAAGCAAGGTCATCCAACGCGCGCGGTGCAAGCTATGTTGTGGAATCCACTTTGCAGAGCTTGAAGCTGTCAAATTCACTGCTCGCGCAGTCGCCCCGCCCGCCCGCCCGCAACTTGGTTCGTAAAACCCACGCGGCGGCGATTGCGATGAGTGCGTGGCGCTGGTTGGTGCATCGATGCGACAGCGCTAGTGCGCAGGCTTGCGCGCAGATCGGCCAGCTAGTTCGGCGCGGCCGACGCGGCCGGTGTGGCGCTGACTGCTGGGGACTACCCTGCGCGCCCCGCAGGCCGCGCTGACGCGTGGGCAGTTCATGGCGGGTCGGTGCTCCGGTGGGCGCGGTGTCGCGGCGACGTCGACAGTGGCGGACGCGGTGATGATAGTAGCGATGATGGTGACGATGATGGCGATGACGGCGGCAAGGCCAATGTCGGCGTCGATGCTGCTCGCGTCGATGGCGAGGGTGATGGGGCGCCCAGGTGTCGGCGAAACAAGTTTTTGAAGGATTTTGACGTGCGCGCGCGGCCGCCGCGGGCGAGCGGTCCGCGTAGCGTTCTTTGACAGGGGCCAGTCATCCCTGCCAAGCGCGCAAAGGCGTTCGAACGATTCCGGCGTGGGCGCGTGATGGGCCCGCTTGGTCGCTTTTGATGTGGGTTCGCAAAAACGCGCGGATTCCCCAAACAGTGCTTGCACTTAGGCATTCTTGCTTCAGTTCTCAGGAACTGGGCCGCGTTTTCGGTCTGGCGGCCGCGTGGCCGCCGTCGTCCTCGTCGCCGCCCGTCGTCTGGGCCGCGTCTTCGGTCTGGCGGCTATGTGGCGGCCGTTGCCGCCCCGTTGCCGCCTCGTCGCCGCTCGTCTTTTGACCCTGGCTGGGCGCCGCCCCCCGAGGCCGGACTTCCCTTCTGGGGGCGCGCAGTCTACGTGATCCTGGCCCGCCGTTCGGTCTCAATGTGAGTTCGTATCATATCGCCGGGACAGGCTTCTCCCGCCCCCATCTTTTGCAACAGAAGGATTTTGCGCCCGCACGTTTGCCAAAAATCATCAATTTCCAAGAATCCCTCGCAACGGGTGGGGCGAAATGCGCGCGCGCGTCGCCGCGCGCGCAGGCTGAACTCATTCAAACACCATGGGTTTTGCAACGTTCATTTTCGAACAAGGACGCGTATCGTGCGTGCGCATGTTGAAATCGGTCGAACGCCCATGTGCGCGTGGTTGGGGGGGTGGGGGTGCGATCTCTGTGTTATAATATTGCGCGGGCAACGCGCGCCCGTCGGCCGCGCGCGCGCGTTGAAATCGTTTCGCATCTTTCATCGCCGATGCGTGGATGCCATCACCGTCATCAGCGTGATCAGCATCGGCGCCGTCATTGGCCTTGCCGTTGCCTTCGTCAATGTCGTCACCAGCATCGCTACACTCATCATCGTGCCTGCCGTTACTGGCGCCGCCCGAGTCACCGACTTGCATTGAAGTGCCCGCGCGTTAGCGCGTCCAGCGATGCGCGCTGGGAAATCCCCAGAGGTCAGCGCCGCCGCGGCCGCGTCGTTCGCGCCAGATTAGCTGGCTGCTCTGCGCGCGGGGCTGCGCGCTGGCGCGGCCGTAGCGATGCGCCAGCCAGTGCCAAGCAGTTATCGCAATCGCTGCCGCGTGGTTCTTGCATGCAAAGTTGTGGTTGGGTGGGCGGGATGATTGCGCGATCAGTGGATTTGACAATTCAGTGCGAACCAACGGTATTTGCACCGCGTATATAGCACCACGTGGATTGCACCTCGGAGACTGCCACACATAGGGTGCACAACGTTGTTTGCACCACATAGGTTTGGCAACATGTTTTGCACCACGTAGATTACACAACGGAGGTAGCACTACACGCATTGCACGACATCGACGGCAGTCCATACACTTCGCAATGTAAAATGCACAGCGTATGTTGTACAACATACATTGCACAACAACGCTTGTACACTATTTTTTGCTTCACATCTACTGTGCCACGTGACGTGCTGGAAACACATTGGTCGGGTCCGCGCTGGTTAGCATTTTGGAGCCGTTATGTTGGGCAATTGTTAGTAATGCGTAGGTTATCGTGAATTTGGTTGGTAGAAATCCTTGCGCGATTCACGTTTTTTTATGCACAATTTGCATGCGGGCGCGGCGACGCGTGCGTGTCGACTTCGTTCCGTTTTTGCAAAGGATTCTGAAACACGTATGTTTTTTCATAAATGTGTGTGCGCGCCGTGTTATTCGACAGGGATGAGTGGGGGCGGGGGCGATACCAGCCTGTCTGGGGTTGTATGTAAACACAGTTACACTGAGCGATGGGACACTAGCACATGTTAGCTATCCCATGGGGGAGCAATGCTTCGGGGGCTGGGTGGGTGGGTGGTTGATCATATTTGTGTAGAGAAGAGAATCATTGCGGTGCAATCTAGGCAGTGCACTCAATGTCGTGCAGTTTATGTGGGGCAAAGCAGTGCGAATTAATGCAATGCACGCGAAGCGCTTCAAACCAATGCAACGCATTGCAAAGCAATGCGAAATAATGCGATGCAAAGCAACATGTAAGAATACAAAGCAATGCGGACATGCTAATCACTGCACAACAATGCAAAACAATGCGAAGCAATGCGAAACAATGTTACGCGATGCAAAACAGTTCAAGTACATGGCAAGCAGTTCGAAGTAATGCGAAGCAATGGGAAGCAATGCGACACAATGCAAAATTAACGATGCGAACAGGGTGGGGCGGCGACGGACAGGAACGGGGCTGCCGTGCCCGCAGACGGGCTTGTTTTTGGGACAAATGGGGCGGCGATGGACGGGAACGGGGCCGCTGGGCCCGCAGACTGGCCCAGTTCTTTTGAAGAGAAGTGGGGTCTTTTCACTGCAAAGACTGTTTGAGGAGTTCATTCGCGCACTAATCTTTCTATTTATCTATCTATCATTCACTTGTAAACATATATGTACATAAATATAGAGACGCTTATTTATATACATACATACATATATACAGATATACATATACACGTGTGTACTAGCTTCCGATGTGTCGGGGGATTTCTGTCATACCCCTGCGATTTCCTTGCCTTCTTGGTCCGTGCCAGTCTTCGCCGTCGGTCAGAACCAACATACTTGTGGTAGAAGTACGTTTTTTGGAATATTGCATATTGAAGATGGGCATCGGGCGGGGCAGATGGGGCCGGATGAAGCGCTCGCGCATTCGACATTTGGCCCATGATGAGTTGATTGCCGGTGACCGCCAATGCCGTTCTCATCGCGACCATGGTTGCTCTGTTGGCGACCGTCGAAGGATTGTGGTGATTGCAGTCACTACTATGATGGTTAGTATCGCCATGTTTCTATGACCGTGTTGACCCCTCACCATGATGATGTATCATGATCATCATCATGATCATGAGATTGAGGAGCCCCCCCATCCCCCATTTGTGCACTTAGCGAAGAGTTGCTGTGGCGGGACGGGAGTTTATCAGATCCTCGAGCATTCTTACAATTATTCTTTGATCAGGGTCAATGAAATCTTGTCCAAAATAAATGTCTGGATCACGTCCCAACCCCCGGTTGGCGAAATCCCGGATAATTGTAGTTCCTCTGATGTATGCGCTGCTGTCTTTGCGTGAGGTTCAGGTTCGCTCGAAGTTATGGCAACACTGGTCTCCAGATCATTTGGGCTTCAAGTGTTCTCCAAACGGCTTGCCAGGTACATGCAACCTAACGAATTCATGCAAGTATTTGTCCATCGCCCCCTTCCGCGGGACCGGACTTGTCTTCGCTGCGCATCTTGGTTGTGCGTGTGATGTAGTTGCACAGAGTAGTATAATAGCAGAGTTGTAATTCATATAATCGAGACGTAGTCGAGCAGTGCAGAAGTAGAGCAGAAGACTGGTAGTAGTGCGTTCGTAGCGCAATAGAGTATTATTATATCAGCACGCGTGGTCTACGCACGCATTTTGCAGCGTGCTTGCTTGCTCGCACGCTTGCGTGATTGCTTCTCATTCTGTTAGTCGTTTATGCGCTTGCTTGTCTGCTTGCCTGCCTGCTTGCATGTAGGCTCGTTGGCTTTCTTAGTTTTTTGCCTGCTTGCCTGTTTGCTTGTTTGTTTGCATGCTTGCATGCTTGCTTGCGTATTGCTTTGTTGCTTGCCTGCTAGAGTATTGCTTGTTTGATTGCGTGATTGCGTGAGTGCGTACAGGCACATCAATACCACCAGCTTGGTTAACCTCGTGGATCATACAGAATGAGTTCGGAGTCAGAGCTGGTACATTCACTGGTTTGTTGATTGATTGGCACTCGAAGGGTGATCATTCATTGCCCCATACCTCAATGTTTGCGTTATGAAACCAAACCTTGATTGTACTGTTGTGCGCCACACGTGCGAGCAGTAGATGATTCGAGAGGCACTTCAAGTGTCTTTTCCAGATGAGGTGGGGGCTGGCAAGTGCATTCGAGGAGAATCAAAAGGGGGATGCATGAAGAGCGGTGGGGGTATGAATGTAGTGGTAGGTGGGGTTGTTCATTGGGTTCGCATACGTTCGTTCGGCTGGGAATCCTGACATTGTGATTCTAGGGGCATGATGCAAAGTCGACACAGCCACGCTAGATTTCGCCAAAGAAACGACATGTTTCACACGTAGTAATCGTTTTAAGGTTTTGTTCCGGCGGGATGTTTGCCACATTTTTTTTTAATATCAACCCGAATCATGGCCATGGTATTCCGTTGCGACGGTACAATACGTTAGTCTAAGCAAGGGCGTATCGTTTTTGAATCATTCTTGTAGTTCTTCGTTTTAATGTTCGTATTTCGGCACGTTGTTGTGATGCATTAGTTGCACTTTTACTGATGCAATGTTCAGCATGTTGTATGACTTTCTAGTCGTCTTCATACTCTTTGTTGCCGCGTCTGCTCCTTTATGCTGGGTGCGGGCCCTCCCAGGCACTGCTTGCAGAAGCGAGGCGCTGTTTATTGGATGATTCGCAGAAGGGCGTGCGACAAGAGTTTATTCCAGATGCTTATAAGCATGCCGACCTGTGTTCCCCATTCTGAATCAATGCTTTATTTTCTTCGTCGGGCATCTCAATTAAAATTTAGTCGAGGGATCCCGTGGCCTTCATATAATATCTCAGGTTCCGAATTTCAATCGTACGCAGATAGCGGTTTGACGAGTCATATTTCTTCCATAGGTCGGGACATTTCAATGGGCCTCCGTGTGCTAGCGACTCCCACGCTGAGCTGGGGGTACGACGGATTTGGACCCGGTATGTTCTGCAGTGCTGCATTCCGGAGGACACCTGTCGCTTCCGCTTTTCCTGCGCGCAGTGGCAAAGAAGAAGAGGAGAGGAAGGAGAAGGAGCAAGGAAGTATGGTAGTTGGAGGAGGAGGTGGAGGAGGAGGAGGAAGAGGATGAAAATGACGACAATTTAATAGCTGGCTGTTGCAGCAAGGAAGCGTTATGTCGTCCGTTCCTCAGCGGTCTTTCTCGTGCTTTTTTCCTCGACAGCCCTCTTCGTGGCTTTGTGAGTTCGCTGTGTCCTCTATGGCCGTCTTTGTGCATGTTACTTTTCCGAGGTGTTTTGGAAAGCCAGGAGTTTCTAAAGCAGCCTCGAGGGAAGAACCAGTGCATGTTTGCCAAGTGGTCGTGCATTTCGATGAGTGGAAAACCCACTGGCGTCCGTGAACATGACGGCCCCCCAAATGTGCGTCACGTGCGATTTCGACTCTTTCAACCACCGTGTGCGACGATGATGACGATGCTGTTGTTGATGATGATGTGGGTGGTGCTGATGATGACATGAAGGCGATGATGATGATGATGATGATGATGATGATGATGATGATGATGATGATGATGACATGAGTGGGATGATGGTGATGCTGATGATGATGTGTGCGATGCCGATGATGATGATGACATACTTTGTATGATGATTATGAATAATATTGTTCAGATGATGATGATGATGATGATGCTGATGATGCTGCTGATGATGATGATGATGACGATGGCGATGATGATGATGATGATGATGATGCTGATGCTCATGCTGATCCTGATGCTGCTGATGCTGCTGATGATGATGATGATGATTACCATGATGATGATGATGATGATGATGATGATGATGATGATGATGATGATGATGATGATGATTCTGATTATGATGATGCTGCTGATGATGATGATGCTGATGATGACGATGATGATGCTGCTGTTGATAATGATGATGATGATGATGATGATGATGCTGATGATGCTGATGATGATGATGATGCTGCTGATGATGATGATGATGATGATGATGATGATGATGATGATGATGAATAAGAATAATAATAAGAAGAATAATGATAAGAATAATAAGAATAATAAGAACAATAATAAGAATAATAATAAGAAGAAGAATAATAATAATAATAATAAGAAGAATAATAAGAAAAATAAGAAGAATAAGCATAATAAAAAAAATAATAATAATAATAATAATAATAATAAGAAGAATAATAATAATAAGAAGAATCATAATAATAAGAAAAATAAGAAGAATAATAATAAGAAGAAGAAGAATAATAATAAGAAGAAGAAGAAGAAGAAGAATAAGAATAATAATAATAAGAAGAAGATGAAGATCGCGTTCAGCCTCTTTTTTCCACCATCTGTTCTTCCCGAGATCTTCCGTGGAAATTGTGAAGTCGGGAGCGAGCGAGCGCGCGACTCCGCCAGCCGGCGGCACGCTGGCCCCTCACGGGCAGTGCGGGTGGGCCAGAAATCTCTCAGAAGTGCGTCTGGCCGAAAACTAGACAGGCGACGGCTTGACTTTCTCCCAGTAGCGTTTCGCTAGAGGGTCCCACAGTGGTAAAGCAGGACCACAGGCAGAACAGTCTCACAGGGGGGACGGGGAGCCCGAGACCGCCCGTTGCGGCAGCCGTTTCGCATGAGACTTCCTCACAGTTTATTCGGGAGCCGTGCCTTCGCCTCCATGCCGCTTGGTCCGGACGGCCACGATCCCTGGCAGAAAAGAGATTACAGTGCACATGGCCGTGCTTTCACCCCTGTCCCGCATAGCCGACTTTCTACTTCTCGTCCTCCCTCTTCACCTTGGCCGCTACTAGGGCGCTTTGCCAGGGTAATTTCAAAACGCGTCCCCAGAAATCCCGACCCACTCCGCAGGGCCAGCTTTTCACCCCTTGGGTTTGACGGTCCCGAGGCCCAGCGAGGGCCTCCAGAGGCTGAAAACGGCCACCCATTTTCCTTTGTTTTTTGTGCTTCTTTGGCAACAACAAAAAGACGCGAGTATGTCTAGGGAGGGTTTAGGCTGCGCCTCTGTTTCTGCACCGCCTGTCGCCGTCTCTCGGTTCCGCGCTCCCCGTGTGAACCCTGGCGCACTCACACCTCTTGAAACCAGTGTGGCGCGACGGACGCACTCGCTCCGAGGAAGAAGTGTGGGCGACCGGGCCCTTTTCTAGATTCGCCCACGATGATTTGTCGTTTGCACCTCCCAATGCTCAGAGAAGGAAGAGGTACGCATACCGCTACCATTCCCTCGTCTTTGCTTTCACGCGCCTTCTGGGGAGGCCCTCGTCGCCACGGCTGGATTTGCGTCGAAATCCTGGTCAGAACGCACACCAGGAGAGGTCCAGGGAGTAGCGGTATCGGCACCTTTCGGTTTTTTCAGGTGTAGTATTCTGTAAACGTTGTAATCTGTCGTCGCACCACCGCTTGCGTTGTCCACCGTGTCTGCATTATGTTGGTCGAGGGTTGTGCGCATCATGCCTCCAAGCTCCAGCGAGTCCTGGTCGACTTGTGGTGGGGTTCAGTTGTTATTCGCTCTGCCTGCCGCCATTTGTTTGAGCTTGTGGTATGGTCTCTTCTTCTCTTCCATTTGGAAGCGTGTCGCGAGATCTTTAGTTGCACGGGTAGCTCTGCGAATCAAGTCCTTCCACGGTTCGAGGTCGGAGTCCTATTCGACACCGTCGACGTCCGATTGGCGCAACCCACGGCCACGAAAAACCCTCTCGGGGAGATTGGGCGCAACCCATTGTCGCAACCTATGGCGTAACCCATGGTCGCAACTTATCGAGGGACAGGCGCTCCCCCATATCACCTCATTTCTGTTATCATCCATCGTCGTCTGGGTTTTGATGTTGGCACTGATATTGGTGAGGCTCGACTCTTGGCTGAGAGTGGACACTCTCAGCATCGTCTAGTCTCCATTGGGCGGGTTAGGATCCTTGACCCTTTCCACCCACTCGCAGGCGTTACCAATGGGGGAAGTCTGTGGCAGAGAAATAGCCATTCGGGAGACAAGTGCAACCCATTGTCGAAACCTATGGCCACGAATAATTCCAGGGAGGATCGACGCGACCAATGCGATAACCTATAGCGCAGCAGATGGGTGCAACCTGACATGCCCAGCCCGTGGGCGCAACCCACGGGCACAACCCATGGGCGATACCCATCGGCCCCTCGACGCAGCCTGATGACATGGAACCTCTTCGGGGAGACATGCGCAACCATGGGAGCAATGTACGGCGCGACCCAGCGGCGCAACCGATGGCCACGAATTATCCTCGGGAGGATCAGCGCTACAACTAAGCGAACCCTACTACGTAACCCATGGGCGCAACGCATGGTCACTACATTCCCTCGGGGGGAGGCGCAATTCATGGGCGCAGCTGATGGCCGCGAAGAATCCTCGGGAGGGGCAGGTGCAACCCATAGGCACAACCTTTGGCGTAAACCACGGGCGCAACCCGTGGCCGAGACACATACTTGGGAGGACGTGCCCAATTATCAACATGGGGCAAGAACACCTGGGTGCTACTGCTGTTTGGAGAGTCGCAGTCTTGCTGTTCACGATGGTGGCCTTGATGTAGGCTTGCTGGCGGGGGCCCAGGAGCTTCCCACGGACGACCAGAAGCCTCCCTTGCCCCCGATGGATTCGACAAACATGTGCTTCACCGCATAGTGTGTCCAGGGTACTCTTGGTGACCGCCAACAATCTATGTGACCAGCATGTGTTTCACCGCAGTAAGCTCTGGCCACCAAACTTCTTTTGGTGGTCAGAGTGCTCAGGTTTTGTCTTCGGAGGGATCTTTCCAGCTGCGCATGCTGAGCCGATGCTCCTTCATGCAGGCGGCTCGTGTTTCGGCTCCAGGCAGGACGCCCCCTGGCGTCGTGGCGGGTGGGCGATAGGAGAAAGGTGAGACTTGTGTTTTGCTCCCGTGTGGGTGGAGGGTGACCTGAGACGGAGGCTGAAGCGAATGATGAGGAGGGGGATTGCCAAGAAGATTATCCCAGTGCGACCCTACCTAGGAGTTGGAACCCCTAGGAAAGCAGCATTACTAGTAACAGTAACGCTAAGCTAAAGCTAAGCTAAAGCTAAGCTAAAGCTAAGCTAAAGCTAAGCCACAACTAAGCTAAAGCTAAGCTAAAGCTAAGCTAAAGCTAAGCTAAAGCTAAACTAAAGCTAAGCTAAAGCTAAGCTAAAGCTAAGCAAAAGCTGAGCAACAGCTAAGCTAAACCTAAGCTACAGCTAAGCTAAATATAAGCTACAGCTAAGCTACAGCTAAGCTAAAGCTAAGCTAAATCTAAGCTAAAGCTAAGCTAAATCTAAGCTACAGCTAAGCTCAAGCTAAGCTAAAGCTAAGCTAAAGCTAAGCTAAAGCTAAGCTAAAGCTAAGCTAAACGCTAAACGAAAAGCTAAGCGAAACGCTGAGCTAAAGCTAATTTACAGCTAAGCTAAAGCTAAGATAAAGCTAAGCTAAAGCTAAAGCTAAAGCTAAAGCTAAAGCTAAAGCTAAAGCTAAAGCTCCCAGGGGACTGGGGGGAACCGCTCCCAGGGGACTGGGGGAACCGCCCGGGGCGTGTTGCACTGCCCGGCCCCTTTAAGCTAAGAGAGTAAGAACCCTTCTAGGCAGAGCCTAGGTAGGGAAAAAGAATGGCGCGGATTACGATGATGGTGATGTTGACGTTGGTCTTGGTTATGGTAACGGTGAAGATATCGATGTAGGGAATTATGGGTCGGATTACGATGACGATTCTGCGGACTGCCCTGCCAATGTTGCGATACTGATGGTGATGACGATGAGTACGCGGACGAGAGGGGATGTAAACAGGATGCCTTTGAATTATACAGTTGAGTGGAAAGATGTGGCGGGAGAGGTGGAGGACAAGGAGACGGAGGAGGATAAGTAGGAGGAGAAGGAGGGGACATACTAATATGAGGATGATGACGAAGAGGATCAGTGGGAGTAGGGGGGGACAGTACGTGCTGGTGGAGTTAGTCGGACGATACACAATCTGATGATGAGGATGGGGATGCCCAGCTGCTTACGAGCACAAAGGAAATTGTCAGACGGTACAGAAGAGGAGGGGGATGAGGTGGAGGAGGTTGGGGAAGAGGAGGAGGAAGGTGAGGATGAGTATGATGATGTGAACTAGGATAAGCAGGATGATTGTCTTTGGGGAGGATGGCGAAGATGGTGAGGACAATGCGAAGGTATTGGGGAATGAGGTGCAGGGCGAAGGAGGGGAGGGGGAGAGCTGGTCCTAGGGGTGCCGAAACGCTCTGCGGGCCCGCTCCTCGCTTCCCGCTCGTTGGCACCGCCGCAGGACGACGCGGAGGATATCTTGAGAATTTGCAGAGAGGAGGCCCAGCTTTGGTGGAGCTCCGCGGCTCCTTGCGGGAAGATCGCGGAGGGACTCAAAGCTCGCTTCTATATCGACGACGGGGACCCCGACAGAAGGCGTGAGGTGGAGGCCGAAGCGGAGTCCGATAGTATCAACACCGAGGCTTCTGTGTTTTCTGCTGGCACAGGGCCCGAGATATCGAAACGAACTGCGATGGCAGCCGACGGAAATCAATATATTCTGGCTTGCAATGTGCTGCCTGTTTTGTCGTACCGGCACGCTCGGATGTGTGTCCTTACTCACGACCAGGATCCGCGCAGGCAGTTGATCAGGTGCATTGAGCACAGGATGCGTCGAGCTGGCCTCACGCGCTACATGGTGACTCCAGGCGCCGCTGCCAATCTAAACCGCCACATTGTTATTGCGCGCTCTCTCTTTCATTGAGTCGGGGGTCGTGCCAATTATTTAATCGCTTCGCTCATTCCGCCGGCCCATATTGTCGCACCGTTGTGGGCTAGCCGAGTTTTGGGGCCTCTTGGGGGCTGTTTTGGGGCCTCTTGGGGCCTCTTTTGGGCCTCTTGGGCGCCTCTTGGGGCGTCTTGGGGGCCTCTTGGGGGCCTCTTGGGGCCTTTTTGGGGCCTCCTGGGCGCCTTCTGGGGCGGAGGGCTCGATTTTTCAGTTCTCGGTTCCCCTCTTGAGCCCCTCTTGGGCCCGTCTTGGGGCCTCTTGGTCCGTCTTGGGCGGCACTTGGGCCGTCTTGGGGGCCCTCCTGGGCCGTTCCGGGGCCGTCTTGGGAGCCTCGTGGGCCGCCTTGGAGAGGTCTTGGGGGCCTCTTGGGCCGTCTTGGAGCGTCCGGAAGCCGAAAAAGCCAGAACGCAAAAAACATAGAAAAAAAAAATGAAAATCAACGATTTTGGCCTCTTGGGGCCCTCTTCGGAGGCCTCTTGGAAGGCCCTTGGGGCGTCTTGGAGGCCTCTTGGGCTGTCTTGGGGCCCTGTTGGGCGTCTTCGGGCGATCTTTGGCCGTCTCAGGGCCCTCTTGGACCGTCTTGGAGGCTTCTTGGGGACCTCTTGGCCCGTCCTGGGGCCCTGTAACAGAACTCCGGCATCTCTGACCCGACCTTGCCGGGACCTTGCCGGGACCTTGCCGGGGTATTTTTCGTCCGGGGACCCCCAGGGGCCGCCCCGCGCGCGCGAATTAGAAATACTGTTAACCAGGTACCGGAGATCTTAGCACGCCCTGGCCCGTTGGGCCGGCGAATTGCAGTTTGGTGAGTTGGCGTCCTTTCCCTGCTCACCCAACATGTGAATTCAATCTGTTCTTCCTCATCACCTCCCCGAGTTTGGGAATGCCCGTGATCTGCCTCCCTCCTTCCTCCTGCCTCCTTCTCTGCATCCCTTTTCATCTCGCCCTCTTCCCCTGGCCATCCTTTCCTGTTCTGGCTGACAAGTGAGCTTTAGAGTAAGCAGCAAGCACGATACGCCATATGCGATGGCTCGACGGCTGCAGATTGGCTTGCACTGGAACTACGTGTCTATGATTAGTCATCCACTCGCTCATCGCAACGTTTATCATGTCTCAGCGGCATGGTGCGCGGTAGACGGGACGTGGACGCTGCGAGCTGAACGTCAGCGACGACCGCCATAACCAGACGGCATCGCAAAGTCAGGTCAGCAGGACGTCGCGGCCGTCGCTTGAGATCGACGCCCAGATCCACCTTCGCCGCAGATTGGACCACTGTCAGGTTCGGGCATTGCCGGGCCGCCGGTTGGAGTCCTTCTGGAAGCACATGTTCCGCCTCTCCATGCTGGTTGTCCGCGACATTTCGTGCGGCGATGAATAGTTGGGCAGCCGGCGGCCAGCAGACTCGGAGCGCGGGCTCCGTACTGCCTCCGTTTCCGCCGAGGATCAGGCTCCACACACGTACGCAGCGTGCGGAGATCCGCGCGCATTCCGAGCGCGCTGCTCGGGGCTGACCCTGCCGCGCCTGCATTTGCCAGCTCGAGGACTTCATCGGCCTGAGCATCGCAGCGGGTCCTCCAGTTCACGAGCCAGAGGCTGACTGCGAGGCTCGCTTTGGCTCATTGCTGGGCTGTCGCCGCCTGTGCTGCTTTCCGTGTGCAAGCCTGCCGCAGACGCCTCCGACCGGCTTCGCGATTCCAGCCACGACGCCACGCGCGTTCATCCTGTGAGTGCGTGCGTTGTGGCCCACCCGCACATGCGGCATGGCAAGTGGGCCTTCAGCATCCTCTTCCCGACGTCGTTTCGTCTCTTCCTTCATTGCATATTCAGATTCATTATACAGTGCCGCCGCTCGGAGGTTCGATATTCCAGGCCGCTTCCTGTGGGTGTGGCGCTTGGGTCGTCTCGGCTCTAGTAGTTTATGCTTTCCCCCTTTTCGTCCCCCGCTCGTGTGGGATCGTCGCGAGTATCCAGGGTTATGCCGTGGCTGGCTGACGCGTGCGCGGTCTTTGTTCTTCTCATCATCCTGCTCCCTTTTTCTCCTCCTCGGGATACTGGTGCCATTTTTTTGGTCGCGCTGCCCAGCCCTGTCGGCGACCGCTTGGATTGCCTTTGTGATCTCCCGATCCCTGTTTTCTCCCTTTCCTTCCTCGTGATCCGCCCCTCCTACCACTCGTGCTCGTGCTCTGCTGTCGTCCCACGGCGGACCCATAGGAACCATTTGGGGTGAACTGCTTTCGCTCGATTCGTAATGATGCGTACATGCGGTTTGGCTATGAAGAATTGGACGTGCCCGCCAGGGTTTGCCAGCCTGCTTCCAGAATGTATTGGGAGGGCCGATCGAGATAACATATTCTGATACTCGGCCAGTCAACTTCACCTTGTCGTGCGATGCTTCTCGTCGACGTGAACGACGACAGCATTGCGGGAAATCGCCACCAGGAGCAGCAACCATCACAGTACTACCAGCAACGGGTTTTGGGAAGTACGAGGATTACGGCAGTGACGGACACTCTGGTACGACAATTAATCCGTAAGGGCTTCGTCCCATGCCGCCGGCCCCCTGTCTTGGATAATGGGAGATGCAAAAGCTAAATCATTCGGTCTGGGCGCCGCCGTGAAGCAGTGTCGGGACCTGTTTGTTTTTCGACCCTGACCCTACGGATCTGCGTCACGGGTGCCCCCGAATTTCAGAAATGTGGCAAATCCTTCATGTTTTCGGACCCTGACCCTACAGATCTGCGTGAGGGGTGCCGCCGAATATCAGAAATGTGGCGAATTCCTTGTGTTTGTGGACCCTGACCCTGCCGGTCTGCGCGAGGGGGGCCACCGAATTTCAGAAATGTGGTAAATCCCAAGTGTTTGTGGACCCTGACTCCGCCGATCTGCATGAGGGATGCTACCGAATTTTAGAAACGTGGCAAATCCCTTATGTTTTTGCACCCTGACCCCGCCGATCCGCGTGAGGGGTGCCACCGAATGTGAGAAATGTATCAAATCCCATGTGTTTTTGCACCCTGACCCCGCCGATCTGCGTGAGGGATGCCAGCAAATTTCAGAAATGTGGCACATCCCATGTGTTTTTGGACCCTGACCCCGCCGATCTGCGTGAGGGGGGCCACCGAATTTCAGAAATGTGGCAAATCCCATGTGTTTTTGGACTCTGTCTCCGCCGATCTGCGTGAGGGGTGTCAATTTTTACTCACCCCAGCACGTCAGACAACACGCTCAGGGCGTGGTAAAAATGCCTGTTTTGGGCCTCCCCCCCTCGCGCGGTCCATCAAAAAGGAACAGTAAGCAGCAAGAAGCAGAACTGTAACAAGGAGCAGTAAGCAGCAATAAGCAAAACTATAACAGTGGAAACTGGAAGCTGCAACTGGTACAGGAAGGCGGATTTTACGTCACCAGCTTGCAGCGGTATCTATGCCGAGTAGTGCTGATGCTGACGGCGCATCATCCACAAGCAAGTTGACCAGGGCAGAACCTGCGGGCAACACGTCGCAGCGTAACAGCGACAATCTCGTCCAGTGCCACCACAAACCGGACGAGCGTCCACATCATTTGTGACCAAGTTCGGCTTGCAAGGCCAGAAGGTTCATTGACACCATGGAGTTTGTAGCAATTCGTGACATGCAAGCGCCGTTTGCATGTCAGTTTCATGGTCATAGCACGTGCTATTTCGATGAGTTGGCTTTCGCGCAGGAATCATGTACCCCATGCCGTGCTGAGCATTCGTCGACGGCGATGAGAAACACGGGCGAAGCAACATTGTGGCAATGGTTTCGTTTGTGCTTCCTTAAGCGGAAGGATGCCCCCCCTTCCTTGCAGGGCGCTCTCTCCTCTCCTTTCCTTCTCTCCGCAGCCATCGAGGTTTTGGGCTGCTGCTTTTTGCGTGGGGCCCGCGCGCGCGGCGCGGGCCCTGTACTCATGCGGCCCCCAGGAGGGGGCCTTCTTATCACCTTGGTGGGAATGGTGGGTGGATCCCCAGAGCCCCGCGCCCGCCCGGGAGCCAGCCCGCTCGCGTGGCTGGAACGGCCGCAGGAGTGGTAGCTGGGATCGCCTTGCTGGGCGACGGGCTATCCCCCGCGTCGTCGCCTGTCCCCCGGGCAGGGAATGGAGGAGATGCTCGGGCTGGGCCCCCCTCAGCCCTCGGATGAACCCGTTGGTGACCTCTCCCCCGCAGAAGAGGTGCTCGAGCCCGCGGAGGCTGAGGACTCAAGCTTGCGGGGTGCGGGGCGGAGAAGATTCACCCGACGCGGAGCCCTCGGCGCAGGGCGACCCTTTCCGGATCCTGTCGGGGCAGGAGGTGAGGGTCAGGTGGAAGGTGCCCAGGTGCCGCCTTGGACACCTCCCGATACCGGGGCCGGAGGTGAGGGCGCTGGGCACTGGTGCCAGGGCTGGGGGTGGACGGAGTCGAGCAAGCCTCGCGCTGGTGGCAGGACACCCGCGCTTGGCTGCAGGATTTTCAGGCCCGGTGGAGCCCCGAGGAGGGGCCAGCCAGAGTACGCATGACGTCGCCTTGGCTCGCCGGGCGGCGAAGGCCCGCGGCTCACCGATCCCCGCGTCCCGTTGCGGGTGCAGGCGCGGGACTGGTTGGTGTCCCATCTCGGAGAGGCCCTGCGGGGCTTGCTCGGCCAGGAAGGGTGGGGCCTCCTGGAGGTTTCCTGGCCTTCCTCGCCAACGAGGTGTGCGCCCAAACCTCGTCCTCCTGGTGCGGGCCTGGCGACGTCGCGGAGACCCCGGCGGGGAGGGGGGCCCAAGCCTGGTGGACTGGAGTGGCCCTGAGACGGACAAGGCCGCCACTGCCGACTTCCTCGCCACGGCGACCCGCGGGCGTGGGTGGTGCGCCTGCCGCTTCCCGAACGCTTTCCTGTCGAATCCGGGGGCGCGCGGTGCGTCTTCGGAGGGCGGAGGGGCATCGCCTTC